AATCAGTACAATGTCCACGCCTGCTGACTTGACCGTACTTCCTGTTTCAGATGCACACAATTATGGCTTCCCTCGTAAGCCGGCCATTATCGCGTTACCGCAGAAAAAACAAAAACGCTGCAAAAACAACAAATCCTGACAATGAGAAGGAGACAGCCACTGTATACAGCCATTCTAGTCACCCCATTCCAGGAGATGACGTTATCACGCTGCACAAATACGGCCCGAGTCCGTACGGCAGCCGCAAACTGCCGAGGAGCCGAATGGACATCACGGAGATCTCCGTGTCAGAAATTACTATCGACGAGTGTCAAGAGCTACGCCGCGCGCACCCAGAACCACACCAGGTGTCCCTCCTGAGGCAGACACTGAGGCACGGACTGGGCAGCGGCCGTAGTCTTGACTACCTCAAATCTAGGTCACAGCATTCCAGCGTCCGCCAACTGGGAGACTATGAGGACCGCTCCAGCATCAGCACGGGCGGCCGGCTGCGCTCTGTGTCCATGAGGCAGGAAGACCTGCACAGAAGCCGGCGATCTCTCCGCGATTGTATCGAGACTCGCAGCGTAATGGCGGCCTCTGTCTTCGGTAGCAGCAGCGTGGGCCTCAACATCCTGCCAGCCACGCAAATGGCTCTGGAATCCAGCGACCCTGACGTGATCAGAAGAAGAACTGTAGGCCAGACGGTGTGTGTCTGTGTGAAGTCCCTGGTGGAGATCTCCCTGTTCACCAAACCGTTGTGTCTGATGGCCATGACGATGTACAGCCTCACCTACGCGGGATACCTGACCTTGACCTACCTCCCTGCCTACGCCACGAGAATCGGGATCACGCAGACCCAGTCCGCGCTCCTCCTCACCGTCTCTGGTCTCCTCGACGTGGGAGCTCGGATTTTCTTCTCCTTCCTGGCCGACCTGCAGTGGGTCCGGCCGCACATCATCATCGGAATTACCGCCACCGTTATAGGTCTCATCACTCAGTTCATCCCGCTCTTCCAGACTTTCAAGCTGCTCATCTTCTTTGCTGTCATGCACGGCATTTTCAACTCGGTGGGGCCCAGCCTCTACTCGGTGTTCATTGTGGACATTCTGGGTATCGAGTACCTGGCTAAGATGTTGGCCGTGGGAAGCATGGCCACGAGTATTCTTGTCGCTGCACAGTACGCCTTTCTCGGTGAGTTCAGTTTTGTGAGATGAAGGGTTGTTTATTAGTTATGTTCTGAAATGTCCACTCCACGATGGAATCTGTGTCACAGCATGGTTTCTGAGGGGAGAGAGAAAGAGAGAGAGAAAGAGAGAGAGAAAGAGAGAGAGAGAGAGAGAGAGAGAGAGAGAGAGAGAGAGAGAGGGAGAAAGAGAGGGACAAAGGGAGAGAGAGAGAGGGGGGGGTTCGATCGAGGGGATAGAGAGAGAGTGAGAGAGCTACAAAAATAAAGAGAGAAAGAGAGAGTAACAGATAGCAAGAGACAGAGAAAAAGAGAAGAGAGAGTGAGAGAGAGAGAGAGAGAGAGAGAGAGAGAAAGAGAAGGAGAGAGAGAGAGAGAGAGAGGGCGGGAGAGAGAGAGAGACAGAGAGAGAGTTAGAGGAGGAGGGGGTGATGTCGAAATATAGATCGCACTAGACAATTTCAACTGTATAAGGTCATATCAAATTTTCAGCAATTGTTATTGTATGCAACCCAAGGGAAGTGACTCCTTATTTTTTGTAGGGTAGACGAACTTTTGACTGTGTTATCGCCCTTTACTAGTAAATTGCACCATGTCATGCAGGCCAGTTGTCTGCCTGTCTCGGAGAAGTCCTAATTTGGAAAAAAGAACCCCCCCAAAGAACGATGATTGTTGTTTGAATTTTCAAGCTACCACCGAAACAATTTTAATGATTTAGGCGATAAACTTCGATCCTTACTTTCAGGACCAGCGTGATCTGAGAAAGATACGGTTTCCCAACTGAAAAAAATAATACTGAAAAAACAAAACAAAAAACAACAAAAAACCCACTTAAAAACAAACATAAAAAACCGAAAGTACACTGTACTCGATTAAAACTTTCCCCAACTCAAACGGGAATCGAACTCAGGTGTCCGGTGAATGGCGATAGATTTACTGTCTTTGCCCAGAGCAAACGACAGCGCTCATAATAATAATATGACCTTTTGCAGTTGCGGCGAGCGCCGTAAAACTCTTACTAAAACAAAAGCAAACGACATAATAATATTATCTTTTCAAGGATACACTTTTACTCTTAATGCAAGTGTGAACAATATATAATATGTAACACGAGCTCTAGACCTACGTCGCATATATTGTTCTGTAGAGCGTGTATACGCGCAATATAAATACGGTTATTTTTTGTTCATTTGTCGTTCATTTGTTGCTGCTGTTGTTTATGCTGTTATTATTGTTGTGTTTGTTGCTGTTCTTGCTGTTGTCTTTGATGTTTTTGTTGTTGTTTTTTTATGCTGTTGCTGTTGTCGCTGTTGTTGCTACTGTTACTGCTGTTGTTGTTGTTGCTGCTGTTGTTGTTGTTACTGTTACTGCTGTTGTTGTTGCTGCTGTTGATTTTGACGTTGTTGTCGCCGTCGCTCTTTATTGTTGTTGATAAATAAAGTTTCCTCCTATCAACCACCGATCGTTTATTTCTCTCCTACTTCTCTCTCGTGTTTGTTACTCTCTTGAAAGACGTCTAATCTTCGGCACCGAGAGGACCTATAATTTGTTTTGCAAGTGGTATACAACTCTTACTACAACAAAACAACGACCGCACGAACTTTCCATGAACTCCACCCAGTATTGCAGAGCTGTCATTTTTACGTCTTTATCTCAAACACGGGGATGATTTTCTTTAGATCTCTTTAAAGACAAATTTTAGAAAGTTGTAACCGTTTTGTCATTATTTTCTCAATATATTAAATTGATCTTTTTCAGAAATAATTGAGTGTATTTGAGTATAATTTTTATGCTATAATAATTTTTTTCATCCTTCTCTTTTCTCCCGTGTTTCTTCATCGCCCACCCCTCCCCACACCACCGTCCCTCTTCCCACACTTCTCGTCCCCCTATCTTCCCACCCCCACTCACACCTCCAACAATACCCCCTCCCCCTCAAAACCCCTCCCTCTCCCCGCCACTCACCCACGCAGGTGCTGTGATCGAGGCCACCCACAGTTTTAACCCTGTGTTCTACTACGCGGGCACCAGCTACCTTGTCGCAGCGCTCCTGGTCTTCTTGGAGCCCATCCTCAGGCGTCTTCACGAGGCACAGGCGCGAAAACTGGAGGAAAAGGAGGCGGCTGCCCGGAGGGACGAGGAGGAGTAGAGGAGAGAGAAATACATACATAGATAGATAGCTAGATATATAGATAAATCGATAGATAAATCGATTGATCGATAGATCAACTATGGACGAATAGAAAGATAGGCTATTGCCAAATAGATAAATAGATAGACTGCAGACAAATTGATAGATCCATCAAAGGCAGACAATGTATTTGGATGGGTATACCAATTGATTGTTAGATCGATTGATCGATAGATCGATCGATAGATAGACAGATCAATAGGTAGACAGATCGATAAATAGATAGATAGATAGGATAGTTAGATAGTGCCAATAAGTAGATCTATTAAATGTTAACTTTGTAAAGTATTGTAAAAGAAGGATAATTGGATGGGTAGAATACGTGATTGATGCCTAAGGGGTGGGGAGACAGATGAATATATAATATAATAAATGTATATCATGTAGATGGATGAATACATGGAATGACAGATTCGGAGATAAATATATTCCCAGATAGAAAGATGGATAGACTGTACCTAGACAGAGAGTGTCATTAAACTAAAAGCGATATGACCGAAATATGAATGAAAGAGAGAAAGAGAGACAGACAGACAGAAAGAGAGAGAGAGAGAGAAAGAGAGAGAGAGAGAGAGAGAGAGAGAGAGAGAGAGAGAGAGAGAGAGAGTGAGAGAGAGAGACAGAGAGACAGAGAGAAATTTGACAGCTTGTGGAATAAAAGTTTACTTTGACACCTATATGTGTGCATATTTGTGTGTGTGTGTGTGTATGTGTGTCTGAATGTGTGTGTGAGTGTGTGTGTGTGTGTGAGTGTGTGTGTGTGTGTGTGTGTGTGTGAGTGTGTGTGTGTGTGTGTATGTGTGTCTGAATGTGTGTGTGTGTGTGTGTGTGTGTTTGTGAGAGTTTGGTGGCACGTCTCTCCGTAACACACGTGCCTGTTTACATCTGACTATTCTGATATGTATGTGTTGTGTATTGAATTTGATTCTAGTTATTTTACCCCGATTTTGTTCTTGAGATCAATGTAAAATACTGTACTTTTATGTTCGGCATAAATAATCCATTTGAAATGGCAAAACTATAGAAAGGGGTCATCCCTTTTGATGACGAATGTACGCATGTGATGTGTATCTTGGTGTGTGTATCGTCGGTTTTGCAAGCAGTCCACTTAAGTGAAAACTTTGAGAATTTTCGATTTTTACACCCTCCCAAAGCTCGACCAAAGATGCACCTTTCTACATCACCAAAGTGCAATGTAATGCTATGGAGAAGGTTTTGCAACTTTTTTGGGTTTTTGCATGATTCCTGGATAAGAGCAACATAGCTTAAACTAGTTTTTTTTAAATCTCCGGTGTAAAAAGAACCCAGATGGTATTAAGTGGATCACTTGCAATACCGACGGAATGCTTGTGCTTCTAAGTTTACATTATAATATTATGTTTGTCCTTTGTATTTGCTAAATGAATGTGTATCATTTTTTAAATGCTTTTTGACATTGTGCGAGTGATTTTGAGTGTGTATGAGTAAGTGTGTATGTGTGTACGAGTGTATGTGCGTATGTGTGGGCTGTTTGTGTGTGTGCTGGAATGTGTTGTGTGTGTGTGTGTGTGTGTGTGTGTGTGTGTGTGTGTGTGTGTGTGTGTGTGTGTGTGTGTGTGTGTGTGTGCGTTTATGCCTGTTTTATGTATACATGAATGTGTGTAAGTGTGTCCGTTCACATTATAATGTCCTCTTTTCCATGACCTTCCAGTATCTTTCCTCGAAATCTCTGTGCAAAGATGCATGTTTGGCCTTGTGATAGCGTATCTGCTTCAGAGTGGTGCAGACATCTTTGGTTCGAACCTCAGTCTCAGCTGTGGACGTGCATACCTCCAAACCCTTTTTCCTCCGTTTTGAAGCGTATAGGTTGTGAATAATGCAACATACTCTATGATAAACCAGAATAGCTTTCCTGTTGTGACAAGGCTGGTTAGCCCTGACGAATAGAAACAAAAACTATTTAACCAATCGATAATAGATTAATCCTTTAATATTATGACTAGTCATAAATATGTCTGAATTTTTACTAGAAATCTCCCAAAATGTTAGAAATAAAACTGAGAAACCTGCTTTATTTTAAGCTTTATTAGGTCAGGAGAATATAAAGAGACTCAAGTGAACTTGCATCCAAATCAATAACTGACAGAAATCCGAAGTCTATTCGCCTGGGTTCTTATTCCAGGTTTCCAAACCCTGGAGTAATCCCTCTCCCTTCTTCCATGTTTCTGAAGCAGCTACGCTGTCACCAGTCTTCTGTGAACCATGTTCTTTTTAGCGAAGGGGAGTACAGCAGCCAAGAAAATCGAAATCCAAGTGACCTCATAATAATGATATGTGTAAATAGAATATAAACTCTCTTTTTTTCTGATGACAAAATGACCTTTTTTGTTAATGATGATGACTCGTGGGTGACATGTTTTGCTTCTCAATGGGTAAAAATAAATTTCAACCCCCCGTTCTCTCTGCTATAAACCTGTCCTATGCTCGAGGCACTTACACGGATATTTTTGCACAATCTAGGCACAGCAGCCCAACTGAAGAACCTGCGGCGAACAGTATCCTTCGCTCTAGAGACTTTCATGTCCGTAATTTAGAGACGAATGAGAAGGTGGAGAAGAAGAACCAACCCTGCCCCTCTCCCCCATGTTCTAAACATAATTCAAAAGCATCTTTTGTACATTACGTCATGGGGACGCCACTGAGAGCAAGGAGCCCGGGTGTGAGTACACGGTCAAGTACGTTTGGAACGGAGGGTTGAAGTTTATTCTTATTCTCACATGTTTCTGTTATAGACTAGCCTCTTATTTCCATGAGCAGGAGGAGTGTTTGTATATGTGCCTTCTTGGATACCAAGACGGCCTTGTAATCAGTGTGACAGATATATTTTCATAATTATAAAATGAAACCCCAGTTCCCGCAAGCAACGAACTTTGCAAAGAAAAAAATATTCATTCTTGAAAGGAGTGTTCTTCTGTTGTCCCTTCATCCCGTCACGTTTCCTGTTGCTTTGGTGTTGTTAGTTTCTACTTTTCTATCAAACAAATTATATCGTACTTATCTCTCCTCCTTGCTTTCTATCAATCATCTGTCGTCCTCATCTCTGCTACTTAAAAAAAAAATTATTATGTGACTGTCATCTTCGGCACTTATATGACATATTGTGTATGTTACAAGTGCCGAAAACTCCTACTTAAAATTTTAAAAAAATAAACCAAAAAAAAAAAAAGGAAAGAAAATCAAAACAAGTTTGTTCTTCTATTGGTCCTTTCCCCCCTTCCACTCTTCTCTCACTTTTTAAAAAACTTTTATTCAATCAGTATGGGTACTTAAAGTGTGTAAATTAGAAGCTTAGCCGTCCACTGCAGGTGGCATAAGTTCGATTCCAACGTTGTGAGAATTTGTATTAATTTATTTATTGATTTGTTTTTCATTAATCAATTAATTCATTCATTCATTCATTCATCCATTCATTCATTCATTCATTCATTCATTCATTCGTTCATTCATTCATTCATTCATTCATTCATTCATTCATTCATTCTTGTATATTCAATTGGAGGAGGGGAGAGTTGTGTAGACGTTATATCCCTCTCCTGACAGCCAGGTCGAGGCCGCCCAACTCTTATTATCATCTGCATTGTGTCGATGGCGGTTTTAAATCTTCTACAATTACATTTTTTTTCTCCTGTTGATACTGATTTGATTAATGCTTTTGGGAAGTTGTTGTGACATCCTGATAATAATAATAATAATAATAATAATAATAATAATAATAATAATAATAATAAAGATAATAACAATTTTAAAAAATAACAATAAAACTAATAATAGACCTAATGATAAATTATAACACATACCCACGCCCGATAATGCACTTTACTAATATTATTACCCCAGCTGACCCTACAACACTCAAAAACATTCTCTGCTTCCCGGGAAGCATACAGTGCTAGCAACTAATCAAACTCTCTAATAAAAACACAACAGGCGAGATCTGTCACTGTCTCTAGCCAGGTAAACATGCCCTCTTGGATGAAGTGAGGAAAATTCGAGTAAAGCGCCTTTCACTTTCCCAAGGACACAACATTGGGACTCTGACGAGGTTCTAACCCACGACCTTACAACTGAGAGTCCGAGAACCTAACCACCAGGCCACCGATACCACAGATGATCGCAGAGTATGACCAGAAATTAAAAGAAATCACAAACAAAAACCCCCACAAAACAACAACACCAACCAGTCGAGCAAAGATAAACATATTTATTATTCATTATTTGTTTCGTTATATAAAATCACACAATACTTTTGTCACAGTACCACTTCTCACAGCACGAGATACGTTTACTATGCTTAGCATTTAGCGACTGATGATCACAGAATCAAAATAGTATGATTTCTTTGAGAGGAAAAAAATGACATTCAACCTCAATGACGATAACAACACTTTTATTTTTGTATTATTTTTTTTTTGGGGGGTGGGGGTTTATATTTTAGTAAGAGTTTTACGGCACTTGTAACACAAACAGGTCATACCAGTGCCGTATATTACAAGTGTTGCTTATCAGTAACATAATATGTACAAATAAAAAAACGTGAGGAGAGATAAGGACAACAGAAAGGATGAGCAAGCCACACTGGAGCACCCGCTAACCAAATTACCCACAACATCACTTTGGAGGCTTCAAAATTTTGACTAAGCTCACCACACTGATTCATTTACGACACGGGGATTACCATGAACATCAGAAATGGACGTAGTGTACATGGGCAAAGAAATGAGGAAGGTGAACATGGATAGTACAATAACCAATTGGAAAGAGGTGTGCGTTGCTCGGTCGGTTGGGCATTGTATACTATAATGTTATTATTATGTGTTCCGTTGGAAGATACGGCATGGTTCTCGTCGGGTTTTACATGCGAATCTTCCAGTGATGTTTTGCTGTTTTAAAAAGCGTTGTATGGCATTTGCAACACAAACGGATCATATAAGGGCCGAAGATTTGACGTGTTAGAAAAGAGTAACATACACAGAATAGAAGAAAAGAAAAGAACAATAGATGCCTGAAAGGAAAGAAGGAGCAAATCACATCAGAGCACCCGCCAATCCTGAAAATGAAAAGTCCAAGGTTTCTGGAGGAATGGCCAAGGGCATTCTTTCTTTAGAAGTCTGTTTATATGCTATTCTGACATTTCTTACAACACACGCCAATTGTGGGTTCTATCCTCATTTAACCTAATTTTAAATTGTCCTCAGCTCTCTAGCCAGAATAGAATGAATATTTAGGTTTAGAACGTCAACAATTTGAAGTGGACGCCAACGTGATATTTTGGGCTTGTCTTAATTAATTGACAGGGTTGGTGACATACGGGTAGCTTCAAATGAGGAGAGTGGGGTGCCCACCCTCCCCCGTCCAAAAAAATTCTTAAAGATCTTGGAAAAAAGCTAGGAAACAGATAATCAAATAACAACGAATAAAACGTGAGGCATGGTGGTGAAATCAGGCACTCGTCAAAATGATGAAATCAAAGAAACTGACATTTTCCTGTTATTAGGGCAATTTGTATCGATTTTTAAAGGGTTTTTCAGGGAGTGGGGGGTTTGAAAACCTTATATATATTGAAAACCTTATATATATATATATATATATATATATATATATATATATATTAGTATTAAAAATCACATTCCTGTGAAAATGTAACTTAAAACCGTTCTGCAAAGACACAACAAATATAAATTTGCAGTTTCCTAGGATATTACAGTTTTAAAAGTCACCAAACTTTGGCGGCCATTTTTATGCATATTTTACCCTTGACGCCAAGTGAATCCCGCCTCCTTCACTCGCAAATATCTTAATGTTTGTTTAAAAAAGTGGGGTATTTTTCATCAAAAGCAAGGCAAAAGATCAGGCTATTGTTAGATTATATCAAAAACTTATTATGCCCCAAAACTGACGAGCGCCTGATTCCACTGCGTCATGTCACATAATAATATAATAATGTATCAAATCATTGATATTAATTTTCTCGTTTTGTCTCATTTTAGTCTTTATATATCAGTGTAGCGGTACTTTGATACTTACATTCCCATTTGGCAGTTATTCTGTAATACGAATAGATCATTAACATGACACCCGAAAAAAGTGTGCTTTACTGACAAGCGCGCCATTGCGGTTCAGGGCTCTAAAACAAGTTAGGGCTGAGTAAATCTCAAAATTCCAATTGTCTTCATCAATGAAGGTGTGTTACACCCTCATTAACTCAACGTATTCACTTGGGTCGCAGGCTTCGACCCTACCTGTCATAGCCAACTCAGGCTTAGAGGGATACAATGTTAGAGCAGAAAAACCGAGATTTTCGATACAAATTCCCTTCCTCCCTCGACCGTAACGAAACTCAGGTCTTCTGCGTGCAACAGCGAACCATCTAACAGCAACACCACAGACGCCAGCGTCAGCGGTTTGGCCAATTATATAGACCCTTTGCCTTGACCAGAAGGACGAACGACTGTATCGCCATCAGCTCCTGGTGATGGCGTTGTTATACTAGTTTTACTGCTGTGGGGCACACTGTTACTGTTAGCTCAGTTGGTGTCACGCTGGACCACGCAGCTGATGACCCTAGTATCCAGGGAGGCGTTCTGAACTCGGGTTGTCTTTGTGAGTTTTTAAACCCATTTGGTTTGGTCCTATCGGAGAGGGACATCAAATTTGGGGATCCCCGCTTTTTAAATTAGTTAAAGTATTGAAAAGGGCATTCAATCTTTTCGTTCAATACATAACTGCTGAAGTTATTATAACATTTATTTGCTGTTGTCGTCACTGTTAACAATTTTACTATAGTTTTAGTTGGGGTTGTTTTTTATTTTGTTTTAAACAAACAGAGTTTTACGGTATTGGCAGCTCAAGAAGGTCATACAAGTGCTGAAGATGATAAGACGTGTGCCTAGAGAGGAACATGCGAGGACAAGAAGAATGAAGGTTAGATAGTCATTTTAAGAAAGTTTTAGTGAGCGTTTCCGGCCTTGAAACACAATTGGGTCATATAAGTGCCGAAGGTTAGAGGTGCTCCAAGAGAGTAACAAACACAAACAGTAAACAGAAGGACGATAGATGCTTGATAGGAAAGGAGAAGCAAACCACTCCAGAGCACCTGCCAACCACCAAACGTTCAATGTTTAACAGAAAAAAAGGAGCCAACCATAGCAGACCATCCGCCAACTATCCACCTGTTAACAGTAGAGATTGAAATACGAATATTCAGAGATTTTCGAAAACGTTACCTACAGACTTAATATTAGCCAAGGTACGCAAAGCTTTTGTCATTAACTTTTAGAAGAGATGGAAAAAAAGGGAACTAAACTAGACAAACAAAAACGTTTTAATTTTTAGTAAAATATCTTTTTACGACACTTGCAACACTAATAGGTCATATATAAGTGCCGGAAATAAAGTGATAAATCATGAAAAGTAGATTATGCAAATTACTGTCAGCATAAACAAATCACGTGTCTTAATTATAATATTATTGGCACAGACCATAGACTTGAATTATCATACTATTCTGCGTCGTGCACTGTCATGGTCGCCGCTGTTTCAGCCCTACAACAACTTTGTTGCGAGGCGCGCGCTCCATGAGCGTCCAAATGGAGAGAAAAACGCAGGTCTCACTACAGAAGAGTACCCAGTACCCACGCAATCCTTCCACGTTGACCCTCATCTAGCTCCAAATTTAGACAAATGTTAACGGTGGGCACAACAGAGGACCGGAAGTACTTCAAAATGCACAGTCTGGCATAATATTATAATATTACAAGTCTATGACATGAACAGATTGTAATAGATACCCAAACAGAAACCTGCCATTATACATAATAATATTATTATTTTGAATGATATTATTATGAGAAAAAAAAAGTACATAATAAACATTTGAAGCTAGATCTAGCCACAGGATAAATGAATTGTGTGACAAAATGCAGACATTGCACCAGTAGCAAGAAAAAAAATTATTGAAT